GGGGGGGAAGAGAAGAGAGAAAATCCCTTAAACCAAAAAAACCACTCCAAAACCCACCAGCCCCGCAAGCGTGACCTCAGCCTAGGGTATTATAAGACAAAGAACTGAACAAGTGTCCACAAGGAAATCAAAACTTCACTAGGGATTCCTACAAGCAGCTTTCTTTTTCAATCTACTGAAAGCTAGGGAAAAATTGTATTAAAACATGATTTAGTCTTACATGAACAGCCAGGGCTGCTTTGGGGATCAGCTGGAAAGAACTTCCCATTCTTTCCACACAGGTCCTTTCAATGAAATTTCAGGGAAGCAAAGAGACCAGCACTAGCACTACACCCAAAGAAGTTCAGTTAGCCCAAAGTAGTGCACGAGATTGAGAACAGAAAGAATATCTTAAGTAGTGTATCAGGAAAGCCAACTCTTCAGGCTGGCAATTTTAATATGAGGATGGAATTCCTTGGAGATCACGGCACTTTCCTTCATTCATCCTATGGTTTATTTGCGCTTAGAAACACACGTCTATAAAGATAAATAATTCATGTTTAAGCACCTAACTCCCATTTCAGCAATCCCATCCAGCCATTCTAGCACTTTAGCAAACAAGCTGCATCAGACCTTCAGCATCCCCTTTCTCCTGAAGTACAGGAGCAGGTCCCCCTCAGAAGAGTTTTCTTATTGTTAGCACACTGTTGGCACATTCCTGATCTAAAATGCTCACATAAGCTGCTTTCTCTGGCAGTTCAACTCTTCACTCCTGAATGACTCTTATCAGGATCGGCTATGCGTTCCGAATCGGAGTAAATGAATGAGAAAAAATTGTTTATGACAAGTTATTTCAACATCATTTGTCCCCAGGACAGGCAACTGCAACCCAAACCACATGACTGGACTCCTCTTATGCAGCAGTTGTTGGCTTTGGACGCCTAGCCTTCAGAAAGACTGTCTCAATTGTATCCCACGCACCTCTCCAGTGCAGACGAGCTCAGACAAGAACAATGCTTCAAGCACATGCTATTACGTTCCCTGCTTACGTACTGACCTGTACAATGAACAGGCATTCTCTTTTCTTCTTAAGGTGGGAAAAAGACAAAGATAACACTGTAACAGAGCAGAAATCTTCAGGATTCCTGCCTAGGAGATAAGTGAGTTTATACCACAGAAAACTGAGGTACCAGCAATTGCTTCGTCTAACTCTAAATAAAATTACTAAACCAAACTAAACCAAAGGGTTCGCCATCAAACACTTTCTGCAAAGACTGCTTTTCTGGCCTACATGATTTTATATGTGCTTTATTCTCAGTTCACCCACCCAAACCCAAAACATTTTGTCTTTTTACCCAAGGGTGAGAAGTCTCTCAAGTCTCAGTAAGTTAGAGTGAAGAAAAGTTACAAGGAAAAAGGACA